CAGCTTGACTGCAAAGCATCAACATGTCCGACAGCTGGGGGACAGACCTGCAGCTGTGTGTGTGTGCTCGTGTGTGTGTGTGTGTGTGTGTCAGGGTCGTCCGTTGGCAGGAAGCAGTAGGCAGCGAGTGATGTGGTCAGACCCTCTGTCACCAGAGAGTGGGAGAGAGGGAGGTCCTGTGTCTCTCTTCCTTTTTCTTTTTCTTCTTCTTCTCTTTTCTTCTCTTCTTCCCAGTAGTTTTTTTTTATCCTGGTCATTGTTCATTGGAGGAGAACAAAACCCTTAGTCACATTGTGACAAAAATGGATTATTGACACACTGCTGCTGCTGACAAATTTTTCATTGTAAACTCATAGGCAGTCTATTTTATAAATAAATTCATTTTTAATATAGAAAATGTTAAACATTACAGAGTGTGTTACTGTCTGTTTAGTATCGCTGGAGGACAACTTGGCTTCTAGTTATTTTTACAGTCTAAAATCTGCCCGACCCTCATAAAAATTTGCACGCCCCTGCTATAGTGGGTGGTATTTATGTTTCTCTGTCTTCCCCTTTGTGTGTGTGTGTTTTTTTTTTCTTTTTTCCATTGTTATAAATATCCAAAAATCAAAAACATAGAGAACAACAATGAGAAGATGGTGAAAGGGAAGCGGGGACTTTTTCATAGTTGATTTATTTCTGTGCAGGAGGCATCGGGGGTAGAATAAAAAGAGTGAGAAAAGTGATGGAAGAAAAAAGTGGAGAGGGAGAGAGAAAAATCTGTGGAAAATGTTTTTGTAAATACACAGTGCAAATCAAAGGGTTGGAGGAGCGAGCGGAGGCCAGTGAGTAGGAGGCAAATTGAGGGAGTCGGGGGACAATTAGATGGGAATTTCCAGTGTTGGTGAGCGTGTGAGCTTTTGTCATAACAGCGAGAGAGTGAATGAGAGCTGTGAGGTCGGAGCTGGCATCGGAACTGTTGTAGAACATTTGCTTTAATACTTGACATGACCCGTCATGACCAGCAGGAGTCAACTGTTACAAGAGATTAGAAGATGAATAAGGAAAGGGCGACAGGAAAGTGAATATTAAGCCCCTTTTTCGACAAACAGCTCATTATAGTAATTTCAGTTTCATTCTGTAGTCAGGATAAACCCCCTGAACTTACGACAAGGTCATGTATGAATACACATTAGTGTGTAGAACATGGCAGGACAAGTCTGAACAGTAAGGGAAGCTCATATTCTGAGAGCAGTTCAGGGAGTAGTTTGACTAGAGTTAACATTCCCAGAGTTTGTTCTCTCTGATGTGTTACACAGGATCGATCTATGTTCAAGAACCTGGAGGAGAAACATAAAGACTCCAGTGAGTGGTCAGACCAGTCGGCAGGGCGGAGATCGCAAAAGAACGAGGTTCTCCTAATCTGTATCCTTTTCATTAAAACTTTCATTAAAAGCAAGTTCTATGGAGTCTCTTCATAGATGTGCTTGTTCTTAAGGGTTAACATGTCGTGCCATTCAGATAAATAACATGCAGAAGTGTCATCATTGATTTGCCCCCTCCCCATTGTATTAATAAAATGTAGTACTGCAAAATAATGAATTATTAATTAATTAAAATAATACTGGATTTGAATTAAGCATATTAATACTTGTGTTGATTTGTTTATTTGCATAATCATTTCATAACAAAACTGACAAAATCACATTCACTGTCTCTTATTGTTTTTTAGAGACGTATGAAACGCTTATAAATGTTTGGGGGGGTTGGACGAGGGCTGAAGCCCACACATTGTTAGATGTTAAACGTGATCCCAGTCCATTTGTCCATGGACAAACAGGCAAAGGTTCATCTACGTGAAAAAGTGATATCTTTTTTTAATGTGTGTCTTTATTTTACACCGTTATTACTGCTGTACCGCGAGGATCTGTGGGCGTGAATCATTTGCTAAAATTAAATCTTAAATTAGAAAGGAAAAGAAAGGGAATATGAAATGATAGAGAAAGTAAGGACAGGACAGAGAGAGAGAGAGAGAGAGAGAGTATCAGGGAAAGACAAGAGACACTGACAACAAGGGAGAGAGTATCTGAAGAAAAACTACAAGGGCAGACCAGTCCGCCCCCTAGAGGCAGTGTGCTTCTGTGTGTATTTGTGTTAGTGTCTTCCTGGGGAAAGAGAGGGAGCGCCGTCCCACCCCCCCACCGCCCCCCCCCCCCCCCCCCAACACACACACACACACACACACACACCAAATCATACATGTTGTTTAACTCTTAGAAGTGTTAATAAAGTGTTAATATAAGAATGTTAATATTTCCCACCAATACAGACAAGTACACACACACACACACACACACACATATATATATATATATATATATTGCTTTGAAAGAAGACTTCTTGATGCTTGTTTGTGTACGTGTGTGTACATGTGCGTGTGTACAAGTGTGTCTTCAGCTCATGGCCTCAGGTGAAAGCGCCTGCTGCTGCTTCCTTCCACTGAAGTGTGTGTGTGTGTGTGTGTGTGTGTTTGTGTGTTTGAAGAACCAGAAGAGATGGGAGTAAAGTGGGCGGGGTTGTGGGCGGAGTTGTGGGCGTGGTCTGTATCTGACGAATCATTTGAACACTGGACCCAGAGTTTTTCTCTCAGTCATTCACACAGACACACACACACACACACAGTTGGAGAGTCAGAGACACAGTGTGGAGTATCAGCGCTCGCAGCAGGACGGACACAGCGGGAGAACTGCACCTGTCCCACACACACATTCTCACACACACACACATAGGATCTGACCGGTCGTCCTTATGTGTGGATGGGAGCAAAGTTACACGGTGAGTCCTGTTTCACACTTTATTTTACACTTGTCAAAATAGACAAAAATGAGTAGTATACATGTTAAAAAATACATTTGTTATTGCAATTTTTTTTTGACTAACTTTATCTTTTTTTTTTTGATGATATTTTCATTTATCTTAAAAATGTATTTTATTTCAAAACAAAAATGATAAAGAAACATTTGAAATGTTTTTTAAAACCTTAAAATTAATGAGTCCTAATCATACTAAATTGTTTTTTTTTACTTTTAACATTTGTATTTCTTTATAATCCGTAGAATGTATTTTTTCACTTTGTATTTTTATCAAACAAATGCTAATAAGTTTCCTGCAGTTTAAATTTGTTTTAAATCGTTTAACTAACTTAAGTATTGACTGTTTGAAGTGCGTCTTTTTCAGTTTGTTAATTTTTAACTTCTTATTTTCAGTCTTTGGAATTTTTGATTTTTTTTTTTTTAGAAAGTTGACAGTTGGTGATTGTTGTTCAGTTATACCAGAGTCAAGGAAACATATTTGATTTCCTTGTTCCTGGATTAAAGAAATCCCACAAAAGTGGAAATAATTTAATTGCACCCTGATTAGAGGGAATAAGTAAAAAGTGACAAATTTGCACCTTCAAAAACACAATCTGCAAACTCAGCTTTTATATTTTTACATATTCAATATGAGAGGCAATAGGTTCTTGGTTCTTAGTTTCATTATTAGTTTCCAGCTCTGCAGCTGTTATGCAAAGAGTTTCTGCTTAGACCTTAAATTATAAGATGTGTTTTTTGTCTCTCTTTTTTAAAACCAAAGTGAGAAAATTAAACTTCAAATGACTTCAAACTTCTTCTTCAAATCTTTGCTTTGGTTTGGTTTGTTCTCTGGGGGAAGCCGTTTATGTTTCATGTGTGGAGTAATTATATTTCATAGTTTCACAGTTGAAATAATGAATTGTGTGGTTTTAAATCTTTGAAAATAATAGTTTTGTTCCTGTTGGCTGACCTTTATTGTCTGAGTGAATTGTGGGTTCACTTTTAAGCAGGTATTTTTGTTCCTTATACTTTCCTCATTTTGGACTGAATTCAAAACATTTTTTTTTTTGTATTTATGCTAAAGCTGAAAAAAGCAAATGTAGCAGGAAAAAAGCAGTTCTAGAAAAATCTTTTCTTAACATTAATACATTTAAGATTTTACATTTTTTCAGTCAGACTTGCACCCTTCGCGTTATATTTGTTGCGGCTCAAGATTAAAAAAAGTTAAAGGTTGCAACTGAAATTAGTTGAATGTGAAATAATTCTCTTTTTTGGGACAGCAGAGGAATTTAGTGGTCAGTGAAGATCTGTGCTGCTGCTGAGCGTGGGACGAGCTGCGTGGATGGATATCTGTGTGTGTTAGTGTGTGTGGGACTGTCTTGGGTGGGATTGGCTTTTGAAGTTTTGTTTGTGCTGCCGTGGCCCCCCAAATGGAAAAGTTTTTGGCGCTCCCTTCCTCATCACCCCGCCTTCCTCCCTCTCTCTCACTGTGTCTGTCTTCCTCCTACTTATTCCATCCATTACTGTACCAGCACACAGACACACACACACGCTGGGAGTCGGGATGATTTGCCGGTTCCGCTGCATTGCCACTCTGCTTCCAATTTTAGCCTCATTCAGACACAGACAGCATTTCCTTCCTCTGTCTTCGACCCTTGGGAGTTGGGGAAGAAGAGAGGGAGGGGGGAGAGAGGAAAGGAGGACACAGAGGGAGGATACAGAGGCGATTTTTGGTTCATAATCTGATTTTTAGTAAATGACCACAAAGTACCCTTTAACAGCGTCTTTGTGCTACTGGACGGAGCGATGAGGGTGGATGTGAAATGAGAGAAAGTGTTTCTTTTTCAGGTTTGTTCAGGTAAAAAAAAAAGTAGAATTTTAGATTTCATGTGTAGTTGTTCCCTTTTTTCTATTTTTTGTGTTGGTTCAAAGGTGTGTAGAGTGTCTCTGTGTTTGAGAAACATCTTAAAGTTACATTTTATAGAGGAAGCAATTCAAAAGAAACTTAAAAAAGAAAAAGAAAGACACGAATGAAGATTTTAGAGTGAGTAAAATGTGAGTTCAATGTTCACACGGAATTAGTAACAACAGTTAAATGTCCTGCATGTGTGTGTGAGAGAGGGCGAGAGAGACAGAGAGAGACACAGCAGTGTTAGTCAGACCCCCCCCTTCCCTGAGTCACCACCCACAATAATCACGACCCCCCCCCTCTCCCTTTCTTACCCTTCATCCCTCCATCTTTCTTTATCTTCTTTTGTCCCTATCCTTTTCCTTCTCTTCCTCTTTTGGTTTGCTTTCTTATCTTCTTCCTCCCACGGCATCTTTTTAACTTTATCTTTTTTCCACATAACCCACCGCCTCTGTCTTTGTCGGCGCTTTTTATTTTCCATTATTGCATACTTTCGCCACTTTTTATATTTAAAGTTTTTCTTTCACTTTCTTTTATGTAAGGAAATAAAATTCAAGTTCTTCTCCCTCTGTTTCATCCTTAGGCGACCTCTCATAGCTCGGCCATGTTGACCAGTGAGGGGGCGCACACCATGGAGCAGGACGACTCACTCCGTGGACCCAAGATGGCGTCCACTGCCACATCCGGTTCAGATGAAGCTGAGATGACAGACACAGATGTGGACATGGAGATGGACGTAGAGGAGGCAGACATGACACGGTGGACAGAAGCAGAGTTTGAGGAGAAGTGCACATATATAGTCAAAGACACAGCGTGGGAGGCGGGGCCAGACAGTGACTCCGTGATCGCAACGACGACTACCAGAGCGGAGGCCTCGCTGCCCCGGAACCTGATCTTTAAACATCCGGCTGACAGCAAAGAGGTTCGACTACACCCACATGCACACAAAGTCATGCATTAGACTTTCTCTGCAGTCTCACACAACCACACACTCACACACACATACATACTTGAGTCAGTGGGCCACGTAATAAAAGCGGGTTGTCTCGTCAGAAAGCTTTACACACTTTACAGAATGAAAGCTGTGTGACCATGAGTGTGAACCACCATGCCAACTTCAAACACACACACACACACACACACACACACTGTAACTGTAGCTGAAATGATAGACACATGCGTCATATTCGATATAATTGCCGTACCACTTGCTGCTAACAGGGGGCGCAGAAGATGCCCACGAAGTCTGGAGATCAAAGATTAAATCTGCAGATGTCCGTGTGCACTGAATATTCACATTAGGATCAACATCTTAACAATCCTTCAGATGGAGTTTAATATTGTTTGTATTTTCTATCAACAAGTGACTTGAGGCATGTCATTTTCAACAATATGACCAATTTAGGATAGAAATAAGAATACATTTAAAATGTAATATCAGTGTTTAGGACAGTTAAAAACTAAATATTTTTAGTTTTTTTGTATTTAAAACAATTATTAACATTTTCAAACGCGGGTGATGTTTAGCAGCTGACACGTTTCTATGTTCCGTTTTTCTTGTCCTGCCTGAGTGAAGACTCTACTACTGAGTCAGAATTTTGTGTGATCTCAGGTCAAAAAGTCAGAGTTTGGCTGCACACCTAACGCAGCATGATGACATGGATTTTTTAATCAGAGTCTTATCAAACGGAGGTGGGAAAGAGAAGAGTGTGATTTGTTTGCCAGCCATCAGTGAAACGTTTGTATAGACAGAGAAAAGGAAGAAGAGAGAGGCTGAAGAGAGGAGAGGAAGGGAGCGCTGATCAAAGACGGTGGCAGATTAAATTCAAACAGAAGAAAGCTGCCATTGTAAAAGCCTGTTAATGGTTGACAGAGAAGGCCTGTCACATTTGTATAAAGTTTATAACTAATGTTATTCTGCTTTGTACCATTAATGCATTAATACATTTTTATACATTTTACAACAAATTGGTTTTTGCTCATTTTTAAAAAGTTCATACAAAACAAACAAACAAAACTGAGCACAGATTATACAACAATAAAAAAAACATTTACAACAATTTTCAATCACATAAAATATTTGTCATTTTATTTTTTTTGCAAAATGTCCTTGAACATGTTTCACATGGGCAGCAAAGATGAACACAGACTGCGACGCTCATAGTTGGTTATACAGAGGGAATCAGGGAGAGGGGGATTTCCCATGTCACCAGAGAACAAGGGGTTTAGAAAAAGACATTTGTTTGTGTGGGCGAACCCATGAAGAAAATTCAAGTTCTTCTTTGGTACCATTCCTAACTTTGTATTCACTGGACATAATTGCACTTTCCTCCATCTCGGACACCGCTTCCTGTGTTCCATATTGCGTTTCTTTGTCATTTGATCGAATCAGATAAGAAAAAAAGGCAAAAAGGGAAGAAAACATTAGTTTTCTATTCTCTTGATCATCAGCCCTGTTTCCTCTGAAGTGTGTGAAGTGGCTGCAGCGGTTGTGGTTTCATGTGGCGAGGGAGTGGAGGTGTGACGAGAGAGACACACACACACACACTTTAATGAAGTGAAACATTAGTCAGGTCAACAACAATCTTCCCTGTTGACAGACAGTCAAGAAAATGTGTCTGGGTCTGCGTCTGAACATATCGTACTAACAATAAGATTTGGTTAGACTTAATGACACATATCTGATGGATGGTGCACACAGACATACATCAGCCCATACTGAAGGTGAGGTGTGTGGTTGCTGTTGTCACAAATAAACCGTTTCAGGACATTAACATCAGAGGAGTTCCATTGTGGGGTTAGGGTTTAATTGTTTATAGGAGCCGACACAGTTCCATACAGTCTGGGTTATGATTATTCATAGGTGTGTCTTTATTGCCTCAATCACAAAGTCATTCACTTCAAAGACACATGCCAGCTTTTGTGTAAACAACTTTTGTCTGTGTGCGACGTGGCGTAGGTGGTCGGCGTGTGCAGCAGGGAGTACATCCCCAAAGGAACTCGCTTCGGTCCCCTGGTGGGCGAAATCTACACAGCTGACAGCATTCCCCGAGACGCCAACAGGAAGTACTTTTGGCGGGTAAGTGCACACAAATACAGAGACACGAACACACATGCACAGATACATTTGGATGCTTCTTAAGAAGCCAGAGGGACCCCTTCCTGTGACGTCAGTGGAACAGGAAGTCAGGCTCGCGAGAAAATGGGGGATGTGATGTCACCTCCACACAAACAACAAGTCACTGTGTTTCCTGTCACATATACACAGACAAGAATACGCACGCACGCACGCACGCAGGCACACGCACACACACACACGCAGAATACATTCTATTCCATCACTACCAGTAACTGTTAGTGAGAATGTAAAAGCCACAAACCTTTTGAACGTTGTTTGTTTAAAACTGAGATTTTAAACTCGGCAGATGGAGGAAAGTCTGTTGAAGCAGAAATGACAGAGGTGGAAAATAAGTTTTCACCTTTCTGTAATGGTAATAATAATAATAATAGAAATACTAATAGTAATGTTCTGGTTCTCCTGCAGATACACGCGGATGGAGAGTTCCACCACATTGTTGACGGCCTGGACGAGACGCGCTCTAATTGGATGCGTTACGTCAACCCAGCCCACTCAGCGACCGAGCAGAACCTGGCCGCTTGTCAGAATGGCATGGAGATTTACTTCTACACAGTCAAGCCCGTTCCTGCGGGCGCAGAGCTACTGGTCTGGTACTGCCACGATTTTGCCCGACGCCTCCACTACCCGCCCTCAGGGGAACAGATGATGCAGAAACTCAGTAAGTGTGTGTTTGTGTGTGTGTGTGGGGGGGGGGGGGGGGGCTATAAGAATTTCTGTGAAAAAGTCTTTGGCCTTCATGGTTTTTACTATGACCTAATATCAAGTATTATATATATGTATATATATATACACAAATATGTATTCTACAAAAAATAACTAATTTCCTTAACCATTTGCAACCAACATTCACTGCATTCTGCAGTTTTGTTAGCTGGATGTACACTTTAAATCAATAAAGAGGGGAGCCGTCTGCATGTGTGTGTGTGTGTGTGTGTGTGTGTGTGCACCCTGTCGCCACTGTTAAAGCCTAACAGTGTGTTTGAGCATAGCCGTGTCTCCTTCCTCTCTGAACGTTAGCCTGTCATTATTTCACACACAGACACAGAGAGGTACACCAGCAACAACCTTTCATCTCCGTCAGTGCCATCGTTGGACTACTCTGTGTGTATTTTTGTGTGTCAGTGACAGTGTAATTACACAGACAGGGGGATATGGCCCCTAATGCCACAGTCTTACACACTTAAAGACCCGCTTTTAACATGAAAGCTCTCTCGCTCACTCACACACACACACAATATTTCCCAACTTTTATTAAAGATCCAGACACTATATGTTTGTTACAGTACGTTGTTCTCTACACTGTATACTTAATATTTGACCTCAGTTTATGCAGATAAAAAAGTTATCTTAACATCCTGGGTTTTAAATAAAACTTCTGTTCAAATTATAATTTTAATTAAAATACGGGGATTTAAAGGACGCTCATTCTTAATGTGTCCACTTTTTAAAAAAGAAAAAACAAAGCGAGAGAGAGAAAGAGAAAGGAGGTGAGAGGAGATTCCAGGTGTGACTGCAGGCTAATGCTAATGTTAAGGTGGCGACTCCACTGCCCAGGGAAAATGCGCATGACCTGGGGTAGAGAAGCAGGGGGTAGTGTGTGTGTGAGTGTGTACAGTATGTCTGTTGTCTTTAATTAGTTTCCTCTGTCATTTGGCCCCACAGGCTCCTGTTGACCTCCCAGTGACTTGATTAGTGAATTTTACCTGCAACAGAAAAGTCTTATCTCTGCTCAGTCAAAACCTTTAGGTAAAGTCGAGTTAGTTATATCTGTATAGCCCTTGATTTTTAAGCACATTGTGCTTGTAAAAAAAAAAAGAACAACTATTTTGTAAGCTTTTGGTTGCAGCAGTAGGTGAAATAATGGCAATGGAAATATAGTTCCTTAGAAGGACTAGGAGCAGAAATGGGCTGTAGATGTTCTAAAAGAAGATGAGTCAGTGTAAAGAAGAACACGCTCAAAATAGAAATATAAAATCAATCATAGTCTTATTAAGCAAATACAATGAAGGGGAGACACTGGCCACAAACATGTATCATGTTATTGTGCTCTCTTTGTCTGTTTAGCTTTTTAGTTTCTTCGAGTGTTAGCACTTGAAGACACCTGTCGACCATGTGTCTGTGTCGTCTTCAAGAAACACAAAAAAAAACACTCTCTCTTCTTACGCGCCATGCAGAAAGTCATAAGCAGAACACACCGACACATTCACACCCAGTCTTTTCATCTCAAGCACATGCTCGCTCACATATGCTGAGCGTGCATGTGCGTGTCTGTGTGGGTCACTCACACTGATATATTTGCTACTTAAAAGGAGGAAAAAGAAGGTGGAGGCATGAGTGTTGGAGGTAGAGTCACGCCCCCTCCCACCCCTCCTTCTCGTACTATGTTGACTACTTGAACTTCCTGGCAGAAGGGCCGTGTTGACAGATTGATATCTCCAAGATGGTCGCGCTGTTTGTTTTCTGAAACAGGGAGGAGGAGGAGGAGGAGGAGGAGGAGGAAGGCTAACTGATAACCTCAACGTTTACACTGCCACTATACCAGTGATGTGGGGGTCACTGATTGTGTGTGTGTGTGTGTGTGTGTGTGTGTGTTTGGCAGTATATTAAGGGGAGCCCAACAGTCCTGGAACTCGGGATTACCTAGGCACACACACACACACAAACACACTTCCCTCTGGGTGACCTCGTGGTAAAAAGTTGACTGCGCTGTAAATGAGCTTATAGATAATAAACGGCGGCTTTTTAAGGGATGTACTGCAGCCACTTAGCAGGCGATGTGTGCTGCTAGCTGACATCCCGGGGCTTTTAAGTGTGGGTGTCTGTGGCTGTGAGTGAGTTACTCCTAATCCACTCTT